TTGAATCTGCGTCGCCAGGCCCGTGTGATCTACGAGTATTATTTATCTTTTACTCCCTCCGTCCCATAATTGAAGAGTGTTTTTGACTCTATATACCAGTGTAGAAAACACTCTTATATTATGGGACAGAAGGAGTATTATACACGTAGTGCCTGCAAAAGACAGGGCTAATCGGTTGTTTTGAAACTTAAATGTCTGAATGATAGATGATATTCGGTTATTGTAGCTATTCTTGTTCTATTTGTTGGACTGTTGAAATAAGTCAGCAGCAGTACAAGTGTGCCCCTGCAGTTTCTGATTCTTTACATGAACTTGTACTGGTAAAATGTGAGTAGTAGAGTGCAAAAGAAGAGAGAATATCACATGGAAACCAAGTTTTAATAAAACTGGTGAAAACCACGTGGAAACGATGTTTTGAAGTTTCGAAAAAATCTCAAGAAAGATCGAATGTTAAAAGTGTGATGTTCTATTAACACGTGAAATTCTCAAGTTCAAATATATTTTAGGGGCACGGAAAAGCAAAATCGACATTGAATAGTGCCGAACAATAAACATCACTATTCATTGCTGAATTTGTTCTTTTCATAGCTCGTAAATGGTAATGTGTTTGAACTTGGAATTTTGCATGGCAATAGAACATCACATTCTTAGCATCCCCAATTTTCTAAAGATTATTTCGGAACTTTCAGACGTGGTTTCCATAAAGTTTTCTTTGAAACTTGGTTTCCTGTGATATTCTCAAACACCGTCTATCATCTATTTCTTTGATTTTTTTTAAAGATTTTCTCGGAACTATCAAACATGATTCTTGGCATGTCCTTTGGTGAACTGGTAGATGCCGGGCAGGTTCTTCATGGGCTGCTCCACCGGGTGAATGGATGGGTGGGAGGTCTGGCCTGTGTAGAGACCGGACGACGGAGGAGAGGAGGCCTCTTTTTTGCGGAAAAGAGCATATCTACTATAAAAGTTCACCGAAAGTATAAAATATCTCAAACATAATAATTATACCGGAGGAGAGGCGGCCTTTAGCGCCGCTGTGCTTGTGCCCGGTTTGCGGATTTAGCTAGTCTGGTTTCTCGCTGCTACAGTAAGACGACAAGCATACCTTGCATGCATGGGCATGGTGATTTTTATGTCTTGTCTACATTGTTCAAAAAATTTATATCTTGACCTTGTTCAGATTTGTCATGTCCTTGCTACTTTGAATTCGGGGGACCACTACCCCAGCCTTGGACCATTTTGTGGAGGATTTATTTTGGGAGGGCTTACATGGAAAATATATATTATATTATATCATTTGTCTTTGGCTTGCTAACTCTGCCACTCTCATTTGATCTCCTAGCTTCAGTTATCAGTAGGTAGTTTGCTGTAGCACCTTTAAAATATGTACTCCCTCCGGTTCTTTTTAGTTCGCATATAAAATTTCTCGGAATTCAAGCCTAGTAAAGTTTGACCAATTTTATGGAACAAAATACCAACATTCACAATGTGAAATCAGTATCAATATATGCGTCATGGCTTAAATTTTTATATTGTATAACTTTAGCATGGTATATGTTGGTATTTTTTCATATAAATATGGTCAAACTTTATGAAGTTTGACTTGAGACAATTCTTATATGCAGAGTAAAAAGGATCGGAGGGAGTATGAGTTGGTTGGCTTCGGGACAGGGCATCACTGAAAACGAATATCATCTTGGAACAGGAAGTGCGGCGGAGGAAAAAAGGCGATAAATATGATGGATGTTAGAAGGTGTGCAAGCGCCCCTCCTAGGTGCCCTGGGCCGGAGGGTGCCTAGGGGCTAGGGACTCCCTCTGTCCCTATCCTCTTGCTATAGTGCTCCGTTGGCCTCCTAACATCCTAAATTTTTTTTCATATTTTTTTGGGGTATGTGAATTTTTTTTTGAAATACAAAAAAAAGAAAATAAACACTGACACTAGGCATTGAATTAACTAGTTGCTACCTTGCATGTTGTTGCGATTTTTTTGCAATATATTTCAATAAAGATGTGGTTGTGGTTGTATGGAACATGAATATTAGAAGTAGTAATATGGGAATTAAAACTAAAAATAAATATGATTTATTGTGTTTTATAGTTGTAAAGTATTTATTAAACATACATAGCATAATAGTAAAAAGGACCGGAGGGAGTATGAGTTGGTTGGCTTCGGGACAGGGCATCACTGAAAACGAATATCATCTTGGAACAGGAAGTGCGGCGGAAGAAAAAAGGCGATAAATATGATGGAGGTTAGAGGGTGTGCAAGCGCCCCTCCTAGGTGCCTTGGGCCGGAGGGTGCCTAGGGGCTAGGGACTCCCTCTGTCCCTATCCTCTTGCTATAGTGCTCCTTTGGCCTCCTAACATCCTAAGAAATTTTTCATATTTTTGGGGGTATGTGATTTTTTTGTTGAAATACAAAAAAACAGAAAATAAAAACTGACACTAGGCATTGAATTAACTAGTTGCTACCTTGCATGTTGTTGCGATTTTTTTGCAATATATTTCAATAAGGATGTGGTTGTGGTTGTATGGAACATGAATATTAGAAGTAGTAATATGGGAATTAAAACTAAAAATAAATATGATTTATTGTGTTTTATAGTTGTAAAATATTTATTAAACATACATAGCATAATAGAATGAAAACTATCATGCATGTTTGCATGTTGAGATGCGTTTTGTTTCTATGCATGGTTATATGTTGAGAGGGTTTGTCCATGCATGTTGAATGATGACATGACATGTTCGCATGAGAAAGAACATGTTATTCAAATATAAAAGATCGAGCACCCCCCTCCCCCCCGCGCGCCCCTCCGGACCGGGCCATGTGCGGGCCAGGATGCCCCCTGTGTTTTATATTTTTCTTTTCTTTTTATAATTAGGGATATCAAAAGGTTACAAATTTCAAAAAACTAACTTTTTTGAAAAAAATTCATGAACTCAATAAATGTTCACGGTTTAAGAGAATATTAAAAAAATGTAGAAACTTTTCAGGAATTTAAAAATTGTTCATGAATTTAAAAAATGTTGATGATTAAAAAATGTTCACGATTTAAGGGAATGTATAAGAATTTGTAAAAAAAATCATGAATTAAAAAAATGTTCATGATTTTGGAAAATTTTAACAATATTCTGAATTTAAACGATGTTCACAGTTTCATAAAATCCTTGAGAAATTGATTTTTGTTAATGATTTACGAGAATGTCACGAAGTTTTAAAAAATGTTCAAATTTTTTAAAAATATCATGATTTCAAAAAATTGTTAAAATCACAAATTTATAAAATACTCATGGTTTCAAAAAATATTCGCAAATTTAAAAGCATTTTTTGCAAATTGGGAAAAAAATATAAAAACTAAAAACAGAATAGAAAAGGAAAATGAAAAGGAAAAAGGAAAAATAAACATAAAAGACAAAGGAAAAACAAAAAAAAAACCGTTTGAAACCCGAAAATGGGCTGGCCTATACAAAACGCGCGCATGAGGGGGGCACGTCCGCGGTTGCTATCCGGCGACCCGCGCGCCAAATTGGATTGCCCCCTTTTTATTTTGATAGTACGCCTAGAGCCCTAGACGTGCCATAGCTTTATAGAAAACAGAATTAAAATTATAAGAAACTATCACTCGCTGCGAACAACGAACGTAACACACAGACCAAACCACTCCCGATCAAGTCCACATACGGGCAACACCACTAAGAGAAAGCTACAACACAAAAGAGCATATCCTTAGCTGACACGCAACACCGCGTCTCGACCGACGGCGGACACCTCCACAGACCATCAACTTCTGCAGAACTACGCTTGTCGACACACCATCCACTCTGAGTACCTAAGAGGAAGTGGCAAGTGGATGACATGACTCGATCCAATCCGAGGGAGATGTCGTCTTGGAGACAGCGGCAACGAGAGTACATAGCGCCGCAGAGGACCAAAAGAGGACAACGGCGAACACCGAAGGAGAGCAATAAGGACCCAACCATGTCTCCACACATAATGCTCCCAACAGAGATATGATGTCGAGGACGCCGCCATTGTGCTTATCCAACACCTAATCAAGGCTTCGTCCGGAGGCAACCACCAACTTCAAGTGAGCGAGGGGCATGGCGCACACGCCAAGGCAACAACTCCAAGGAGGGGATGACAACCACGGGTGCCATCGCTGCCGGCCCGACGCAAGCCAAGCAATATTTTCATCCGCACGTCGCACATGACGGACGTTTCCTAGAATTGGGCAACACCGTCCAATTAGCCTCGCACCGCCACCACCGCAACTCTTAGCCGATGTAGTCGCAAAGCCGAGGACCGACGGTCGGCTACACGGCAAAGAGGAACCCGGCCACAACACCAAACTCCCAACCTAAACAAGGAACCACAACCACCCTGCACCTCCAGCAAGGTCCAGGACTGCACGCAACAACCGTCGCCAACTCCAAAGGACGGCCTTGCGACGGTCAGACCCGCACCTCCACGAAGCACCAAGCTGCACCACCGGGAGAGCACTGCTGCTCACCACGCCACACAAAAGAGACCGGCCACTCGCTGCTCGCTCCATCTTGGCCGAGCCACGCCGCCACCAGCAACCTGTTCGTGGGTTCGCGCCTATGCCTCCAAACAGCGCCGACGCCGTGGTTCCCCCCATTTGACAAACCCAAAGAACACCTTATCGCTTTTTACAGAAAAAACTCATTGAGATCATACGCAAATCTCATCCCTGCTTACGGTCTCCACCGGATTCACCTAAAAAAAGTGCAAATTGGTCGTTGTTTTCGTTGAGAATTGTGTTTTTTACGGGAATTAATTGTTTTCGTTGAGAATTGTTATTCCATCAATGCTTAGGACATGTATTCCGACTCGATTACAAACACAGGTGACGCGGCCCATCGGACATGTAACCGACTCAACTCCGTCACGGAGGTCGATATATATGTACGGGAACCGAACAAGCAACAGTACATTGGACGCGCGTTCGCTGCTCCCACGCGCGTACAGTTGTGCTATGATGGTGCGCCTCCGAGCATCCGATTCGACGCCGAAAGTTTCCGACATGAAACAACGTCGCCGGCGCCGGCGCCGGCGCTGTCGCAAACGCGGGGACGCTGGGGTCATCCTGCCGACCGAGCTAGTCCTCGAGATCCTCAAGCGCGCCTCGCCATCCACTGTTGCCCGCTGCGCCGTCACCTGCCGGCCGTGGCTCCGCCTGGTGTCGCGTCGCTCCTTCGCCCGCCGCGCGGCCCGTCCGCGGCGCGCGCTCCTGCTAGGCTTCTTCGCGTTCGACCACGCGGAGGACGACGAGCAGGCGATGCTCCCGCCGCGCTTCGTGGAGTGTCCGGGCGGCCCGGCCGGCTGGCGGTGCCCGTGCGTCCCGCGGCTCGACCCTCGCTGCCGCGACCTGGACCCCGTCCTGTCCCGCAACGGCTATCTCGTGCTCAGCCGCGCCGCCGTCCTCGCCGGCACCCCGACCACCATCAACTACTGCGTGTGCAACCCCTCCACCGGCCTCTGCCACTTTCTGCCGCCGTACCGGGTCCACGACGACATCGGGTTCTGGGAGTACGGCTGCGCGTTGCTCACCGGGAGAGACCTGCGCAGCCGCGCATCACCGCCGCCGATCTCATCATTCGAGCTCGTCTTGGCAGCGATCCACATGGAAGAGCATGTGCTCTGGGTAGACAGCTTCTCCTCCTCCACGATGAGCTGGAGCCCGACGTGTCGCCTCGAGATCCCGTACGTCCCCATCGCTATGGTTGACGAATGGCGGGAGTGGGACTTCACGTCCCGGCCCCGGTCCCGGTCCCCGCTTCGCCAATCCTGGACGAGCCTGGAGATGCACCCAAAGAACCTCCCGGTGGTCGACGAGGACGGCGTCATCTACTGGCAGTGCTCCCGCGACCACGGCGCCGGCGCCGCCCGGGTCGCGCTGGCGCTGGACATGCGATGGCGAGGGCACGTCGAGCTGCTGGACCTCCCGGGCGAAAGCCGCTGCTCCGGCGCGTACTGGGACTTCGGCGTCGTGCTCGGCTGCCGCAGCAGCGACGGCGCGCTCCTCGCCTTCGGGCTGGCCGAGTACGACGGCCCCGTGCTCAAGAGATGGTGGACCGTGAAGAGAAGTGTCGATCGCTCCATTCCCACGGGGTGCACCTGGCACCGCGGCGGCGACGTCGATCTGCGCCGGGCGATCTCAAGCTGCTGCTGCGGCGGGGACGCTGTCGACGACATTGGCGGCGTGAAGCTGCTGTGGTACTGCGAGAAGAGCAACGTGCTGGTGTTCAACACGGTTGCCCTGGGCAGCTTCGCGCTGGATCTCAAGACCGGGCGCGCCGAGGCGGTCGGGGAGGTCCTGCGCTGCAAATCGGAGTTCTGTGCGAGGAATGCTTATATATGGTGGAGGGCTTGCCCGTACGAGATTGACTGCCCGCTTACGTGGATCACGTCCCCAAGCGATAATACTAGACGGGTCTCTCTAGGACACATCTAGATGTGACATACTCATGTCACATCTAAGGTGATGTCCACTCTGTTTGTGGTTTATTTTTTGATTTTATTTTTTTATTTCTTGCTGCTGCATTATATTTGTAGGAGCTTAAATGTGATATCCTTAAAAAATATCTAACAGTAAATGTAGACTCACTGGCAACGAACGACCGACTTTGACGGTCATCAGTCCGCCCGCCTCATAATTAAGCCTCAGCCAATCAAATCCTAACCACCCGACAAATCCTCAGAAAAATCTTGCGTGTTTCTAGCATTACTCGGTCACCAAGCTACGTAAAATTTCGGGCTTCCCAGGGGCACATAAGTTGTTATAATCAGGAGTTTATTCTCTTGTTGTAAGTTTGTAACTAAGACCATATCCCACACATGATTGTGAATGTTTTGCAATATATTTCAATTTTTTTGGGATTTTTACGCAAGCTCTGTGTGTGTATATATATAAGCAAACCTATGAAACTTCGCTCGGGCGGTATGTATTCTCTTGTTGTATATATATAGTAACATTATAGGGTCATGCTATTCGTCACCCTGGGTGAGGAATAGTTATTCTTCACCCCCTTTCTATTTTGACGTCAATACACCGTATTTTTAGGTTTCGTAAATTTTGTCTTATTTCATACATAAAAAGAAAACGTAAGAAAATATATACTCGTCGTAAAAAATATTTTATGTTACATAAAGTTGCAAACGTAAAAACATACATAAAATGCGATATTTCTGGTCTTATAACCTATTTTTTAATTTTCTTATACCAAATTTTACGTAGTGAATCAATATGAATGTAACTATTTGTATTCCAAACATAATTTATTTATGAAGTGATCGTAAGATTACTCAGATGAAGAATAACTTATTTTGCACCCTGAGTGAGAAATAGTTATTCTTCACCCCCTCTATTTTACCATCAATGCACCGTAATTTTACGTTTCGTAAGTTTTATCTTATTTCTGACGTAAAAAGAGACCATAAGAAAATATATAATCGTCGTAAAAAATATTTTATGTTATGTAAAATTACAAACGTAAAAACATAGTATAAAATACACATAAACTGCAAATTTTCTTGTCTTATGTCCTATATTTTTATTTTTTATGCCAAAATTTACGTAGTGAATTAATAAGAATGTAACTATTTGAATTCCAAAATGTAATTTAATTATGAAACGATGATAAGATTATCTCGGGTGAAGAATAACTTGTTCTGCACCCTGGGTGATGAACAGTAACAATATATATATATATATATATATATATATATATATATATATATATATATAAGGACTCCTCTTCCGTACTCCCGGGAGTACATACTCCCACCCTTTAACGGATCCTTTGACTTGGATAAACCCACTAACAAACTAATACGCAGGAGAAAAAACGAAGCATGTAACAACTTTCCCAAAAGTGTGGCGTGTAGGTGGTTAATCCTAGAAATTAGGTAATCTTTTAGTCCACCGCATCGTACCTATTTTAAACTATTTTAGACCACATGACGCATGCTCCATGTAGTGTGTACAAGTATATACTTTCAAGGGAATTAGTACACACACGTGAGGTATATCTGCTAATTCTGTGAGCTTACATGCATTTAATTTTATAGGTCATATATATACTACTTTCGTAAGGTAGTATATACCATACTGTTGCGGTGACGCATTTTTTGCCATAGAGTATATAACCTTTTTTTATGAAGTATATGCCACATTTTTTCAGTGAAGTATATGCCGCAATTTGTTTGAGACGAGAGTATATACCCCCTTTTTTTATGAAGTATAGGCCACGTTTCACTTAAGTATATGAAGCATATACATATACCAGTTTCTGATGATGGGGGCATATACAATATTTTTTCGATGGAGTATATACATCTTTTTCAATAAATTATAGACCACTTTTTCACGTTGGAGTGTACACCACAATTTTTGTCACAAAGTATAAACCACATTTTTGCAATGGACTATAAATACTACTCATAGAGCTAGTATAGTTTACCCACAGAGATGTATAAACTTAAAAAAAGTATAATCCATTTTGAATACCGGTATTTGCCCACTCAAATTTGATGACTTAAATTGTATATGTGCATCATGGGAGCATTTGTATAGCGTTTTCTGGGTATCACATCTTGAATGATGGATCGATCGATCTAGTTCACAGTGTCGCGTCCTTGGAATATATCCGTCCTCATGTTCTCTTGCTTCATAGTTGTGGAGCCGTTCATGCGTGTAGTTTTCTCTGAAAAAACAGTCGTGTGTTGTCATCTAAATCAGGCCCGTATAGATGGTAAGTTTATTCATATGAGAGATGTACAAGCAATGCGATCATACTAGATGAAAGAGAAGATGTAGCTTGCCATACCGAATGCCGATTGGAAAACACATGCATGCGAGACTCACCATCAACGGCCATGTGATGCATGCCCAATTGCCCATGGCTGTACGTACCGATGCCATCACTAGTCTGAGCACCTCCAACTTTCTTAGTGCAGATGCATGCATGCATGAGGTTAATGGACATGGATGTGTTTACACAGGAGAGAAGATCGCTGATAAGCAACATACTCCGTGTGTGAGTTGTGGCTGACTCTGACTGGGGGCGTGCGCGGTGAAGGGCGCTCGACGTCGGAGACTTGCTGGGCAGAAACGGGGCGTCGTCTTGTTCCGTGCCGATGCATGGCGCGAGCCGTCGACGGCGGCGACGAAGCTACAAGAAATAGGTCAGCCTACCGTAGCAGCGAGGTATGTGCGAGAATAATAGATCGATACAGATTAGTTCCAAGAATGACGTTTGGTATCCCTATTAAAAAGGATTCTGTTCCAACAATTTAAATAATTATCTTTTTTTAGGGAAAAACAATTATCTTATCGGGAGGCTAACAGCCGGTTTAGATTTTTGCTGGCCAGATAAGACGCCGTGGGTCGCACAGGAGATGAATCAGACCCGGGAGTATGTACTCCTAGGAGTACTGACCAATTTTCCTATATATATATATATATATATATATATATATATATATATATATATATACATATATATACTAGTAAAAGTGCCCGTGCGTTGCAACGGGCAAACAAAAAAACTCAAAAAATATATAATGGCCAAATAAAACAATTCAAGTTCATCAAATTGTGCCAATCTGATGTAAATCCTGCAAATCAACTCAATAATTAAGAATAACTCATGCAAGAAAGAGGAACCTGAGCTTAAGAAAAAGAGGAACTTGCACACCATCCTGCTAGAATGTGCTTGAATGGACGCTCCTTCTGCACATGGTCCACAATCGTCTAGTGGAAAAATAAATCAAAAGGTCAATGTTTGTTTACCCACAGGGAGATCAATGTTTTGTTTTAATGTTCTACGGAGAGGTTGTGGCTCATGTCTCATGACAGGGAGATCAATGTTTGTTTTAATGTTCTACGGAGAGGTTGTGGCTCATGCCTCATGACATTTACAAGAGGAAAATTCAAATCATCTCTAGGTGCTAGCACTTAAAAGAAGGTACAGCCTTAGAGGTTCACTCTCAAGTAAAATACAAAATACGTAAACAGACCTGACAATACAACTCAATAGCCTCTATTGTGTAAGCTTGGTTCCCATCCCATGGCAAAGGTGGAGAAATTGCTGAGAACATGTTTGTTAGTTAAGGCCAACATGAAAGAAAATTAATTAAAATATCTGTGCGTTCCTTTTTTTCTGATGAAAGTACTTCCTCTGTAAAGAAATATAAGTGCGTTCAGATCACTACTTTACAGAGAGAGTATGTAGCAAAAATGCACGTGTGTTGCAACGGGAGGAAAACAAATCACACACCTTTAACCCAAGCTGTGATTTTAGGCATGAAATTATATTGTTGTTCATCATTTACAAAAACTGAAACATATAAGTATTCTGATGTTCTACAGATTGTTAATAAGTTGATGGTCATATTGAACAGCAAACTTGTGTGCCTTTACCTATAAAACATAAGCTATTTCAAATATGAAACTTGGAACGTAGCTTGACAAAAGTTGGAAGAGTCCAGTCAGGCTAGACATGGATTGGCATGGAGACTGAAAGACCAATCTCCAGTACAGGTGCGATAGCAAAGACCATGAGATTCTTATTTCTTTCCTTGAAATTACCAGTTCCGACTGTTTAATTATTTATTTACTATAAGCAAGTGAGTAGATATGCAAAATAAAGGGAGAACAACTCTATAATCTTACTATGAAATGACCAGTAATGTTTTCCGGATCACAAAATTCAGAAACATGACACTGAGTGGATGAATACCCTAAACACTGACAAATTTATGGCTATTTTATTGTGAACAGTTAGCTCTTTGAAGTGTAGTTCCTGATCAGTTTAGCAACTGAACATGGATTGAGCATATTTATTATCTTTTTAATCTGCTTTAGCTTACAATTTGTACTAAATATAGTTCATCAGAATTTAACACTACATGGGAAACTAAACTGAACGAGACCTTGTATGTAAAGCGTACCTGATGCCTTGAGCTTACTACATAAATGTAGAGACAAAAATATCAGGCATAAACTGGTTAAATTGCAAGACTTCTGACTGATATATATATTGAAGCCCTGTCGCCAGAATAATCTATCAACTTCTGTTCCACCTGGCTCAGATCGGCTTCAGTGTAGATCGCATTGTACTGGATAATCCCCACGAAATCAAATGAACCATGGACCCTTGCCTACTCCTTAGCTGTGAACACCGGCAGCTTGGAACATCAGGTACACATGTTTAAGGTGCAGATCCAACCTTGAATACACTTGTTTCATCATTTGGATTTTCTAAATAGAGGTAAGAGTTTCACCAGAAACTTAGAACGTGTCTTAGTCCGTCGTACGCATGACATCAGACAGGTTCTGGGCGGAGGCTCATGAACAGTAGAACAAGTTCACCAAATATGGATTGATAGTGAAAACACTAAAGAAAGAATCGAAAGTGTTCCTTGGCCATTACAAATCCATGTACATGAGGG